GGCTCCGCGAGGCTCCAGAAGGTTCCGCCGCGATGATGGGCCCGCGCCCCGTCCTGGTTCTCAGTAAGTTCCGATCAGTTTGTCGTGCGCAGAGAGCGCTGGTTATTAGTGCACCTCATAGCTAGGGTGGTGAAGGGGTAGTGGAGGTTATTTGATGTTGGGTTTATTAGGATAGTGATTCGTATGATACCCTAGCCTCCGAGCTTTAGGAGTAGGGCAGGTAGTAGCATGGAGCCGGCAATGGGGGCTTCTCCGTGGGCTTTCAGGAGTCATAGGTGTAAACCGTATTGGGGGGCTTTAACTATGAAGGCTAGGAGTAGGGCTAGGCTTGCGACTAGGTTTAATGTGCGATGTGAGAGTTTAAATATTGGGAACTGTAATGCACCGATTTGGTTGTGTAGGTGGAGGATGGCATTAGCAACGGGAGTTAGCTGGCGTGCTTGTAGAATAGAAGGTAAATGCCGGCGTTTAGACGCTCTAACAATAGAGCGGGCCCGGCCCGCACTGCCGGGCGGAGGGCGCGGGGATGGCCGGTCCGGACCCCCGCCCCGCCGTGCCGCCATGTTGCGGCTCCTCATGGCCGGGCTCCCTTTCACGGCCCGTTCCGGCCGGGCCCGCCTGCCCTGCCGGGGATCCAGCTCTTGGGTCTCCGGAGCTGCTGGAGCGTGTCTAGAGGACTCCACGGAGAGGCTCCAAGGGCTGCAGCCCCTCCGGGAATCGCTGCCGCTCGGCGCGGCCCGAGCTCCCCCTGGCAGCTCCCTGCCCACGGCCCCTGGGATCCTGTGCCGGCAGGAGCAAGATCCCAGAGCCCCGCTGCCCTCAGACCTTTTCTGGCAGAGTTCCGTGCTCTCGGCTGTCCTCGCGTCTTTCTTTGTGTTGCCCTGTCTAAACCCCAGTTCTTGAGAGCTGCTGGAGCGTGTCTAGAGGACTCCACGGAGAGGCTCCAAGGGCTGCAGCCCCTCCGGGAATCGCTGCCGCCCCCAGCTCCCCCTCACAGCTCCCTGCCCACAGCACAGCTTCTGCCGTGCCCTGCGCGGGACATCCCGGAGCCCGCTGCCCTCAGACCTTTTCTGGCAGCGTTCCGTGCTTCCCGCTGTCCTCACATCTTTCTCAGCCACGTTGCTTTGTCCTGCCCCGTCTGAACCCCATGTGAACCCCAGTTCTTGGGGAGTCCGTCCAGAGGAGGCCACAGAGATGATCCAGGGGCTGCAGCCCCTCTGCTCTGGACACCGGCTGGGAGAGCTGGGGGTGTTGAGCCTGCAGAAGTAAAAGCTCCAGGGAGACCTCAGAGCCCCTTCCAGGGCCTAAAGGAGCTCCGAAGGGGCTGGAAAGGGACTTGAGGCAAAGGCAGGTAGTGATAGGATAGGAGGGGATGGTTTCCCACTGCCAGAGGGCAGGATTACGTGGGACAGTGGGAAGAAATTCTTCCTTGTGACAGTGGTAGGGCCTTGGCACACATTGCTCAGAGAAGATGTGGCTTCCCCATGCCTGGAAATGTCCAAGGCCAGGTTGAACAGAGCTTGGAGCTTTACTCTAGTAGGTGTCCCTGCCCATGAAAGGGTTTTGGAATGAGATAGTCTTTAAGGTCCACTCCAGCCCAAACCATTCTGTGATTCTCTCACCTTCCACCAACATAAGGTATTCCCAGAGTTTTGGGGTTTTTTCTGTTTGGGTATCTCATTCTCTACTGCATCCATTCTGTTCTCTGTTAACCCAAGAGGCAGCAATAGACTGTCGTAGCCCACCACTCCTTTTCTGAGACTGCTTGCCTGAGATGTGGTGCTGCTCTTGCTGCTGTTTCCTTTTGTTCTGTCTTACACCTGTCTGTGCATGTGCATCTGCTCCTGAATAAATCTGGGCATGCTCGGGCCAGGCTTGCAATAGCAGAAAAGCATCCCTGAGCCCAAATATGCCCCAGGGCTGAGTTTGTTGATAGCTGCTCTCTAGCTGAGGTTGTGAACTCCAGCTGCTCCTCACCCTCATGTGCCAAAGTGACATCGAAGGATTAACTTCAGATCACTCAGTTCTGCTTACTGTACATGAACCTCTGTAACTTTTCTTGACTGAGCACTTTGGTACAACACCAGCTCCTCAGCTTTGTGAGAGCTGGCAGATCTAGTGAGTCACTGCAGTTTGATTTTCTGGGGTAATATGTTCTGTTTTGGGGTTGCAAAGCTTTGTCTCAGGATGCTAACAGGGAGTTCTGTTACAGGGAATGTTGGTTTTCACTGACAGTTTTCTATCAATGTAATTCTCATCATGACTGCAGTATTTGTATTGTAAACTCTGAATTTCAATCTGGTCACGTGTTGAATGTGTGACTGAGAGGTGACTGCATCCTTGATGTTTTGTACTTGATTAATATTATTTTTTCTGTATTCTTTAGGTCAGAATACAAAACGTGAGTCTGGAAGAAAAGTCCAGACAGGAAACATCACTGCTGCAAAGGTACCAAATTCTCAGGCAGTGTGTGTATTCATATATTTCAGAGAGAAAACTGAATGTGGAACATATTTTCTCTATTTGATATTAATGTAGAGTAGAAGAAGAAGCAACATAGAAAATAATTTTCTATGTTAGCAGAAGATTTCTGTACTATTACATAAAAATTCTGTATCAAACCAAAATATCTGCATTGTTCATGTAATGGGTTACCCTATAAATAACCATGGAGGGATTTAGCCAACCAAGCCCCTTTTCTCTGCAAAGTCTGAAAGTCTCTTAATTTTGACATCTGACTGAGATAATAATTTAGAGTGGTTCCATTGTGTTGATAATCCCCATATTCTCATTTCCATACAATTCTTAACCCATATCTCAACAACTCAATCAACTCCACAGCAGAGTTGTTGGATGACTTCAATTTTGCAGGGGCTGCTGATTTCACTGTGGGGTTTTTTTAGACTTTTTGATGCCCTCCTGTATTTTACCTCATTTCTTTGATTCCTCCCAGACTATTGCTGACATTATCCGAACATGTTTGGGACCGAGAGCAATGATGAAGGTAAGAACTTGTCCTGCAGCTGATTAGAAGTGACACACATGTGGGACAGAGCAGTCAAGTGTTGGTTCTCTTGTGGTTACAGATGCTTTTGGACCCCATGGGTGGAATTGTGATGACCAATGATGGCAATGCTATTCTTAGAGAAGTAAGTTTCTCCTAAAGGATTTTCTTGCTTAACATTAAGTCAGTGTGTGCCTGAATTTTGGGTGACAGTGGGGCTGTGTGATCTCCCCACCTGTCCTGAGAGCCAGCAAGGGCTGACCAGCTGCTCCAGGAAAGGTTCTCACTGGTGAGAAATGAAATACCAGCAGGTATTCTTGCTCTACAGAAGTGTAGGTTTGATCCTGAAGTGGGAGATTTTCATGGAGTATTTACAATACTGATGCAAATTCTTTGGTAATTTGAGCTATTATAAACTGCATTGAGACTTTTTGAGTAGATGGTGTTCACAATGCCACATGATGAGAGCTAGAAATCATTATTGTGTGTCTGGTGCAAGAGCTGTTAAAAGAACATCCTAAAAACTGAAATGCCTGAAAAACAGTGAAGAGACACAATCCTGTCAAATACAAGGGCTTGGTTTTGGTCTCAAAAGGGAAGAAAAAGCCTTGCTGTTGTTGGACCGAATGGCTTTGATTGTATTAAAGGTGTGGTATTTGTTCCATTGAGTGACACGAGCCATTTCTGCTTTAATATTCTGGGACAAATCCATGCCCCATCCTTGCTCCTACC